CTGCGCCAGGGTATACAACTTCACATATGCGGTAACGTCGGCATCTTTCGTAGCAAATTTCTTGCCAGATAATTTATTAGCAGCCTGAAATGACGTGTCATTCATCGTACCTACTAACACATAGATGAAATTATATGGATTACCGCTGATACTCTGGCTGTTACTCAAGATGATTCCTCCATTTTGATCAGCCGTGGAGAATATGGATATATTTGAGTAACGTAACATGCACTCATCGTACCAGATAGTTGAATCTTTTTCCTTGGGACAACGTTGTAAGATTTCCGTAGTAGCGTTTCTGACACACTCTTCACAAACGTCAATATTAACATCACCTCTACATAGGAAGAGGCCAGTGACTCTGTCAGGAGGGCCACGACCCACCGTATAGCTGTAAAATCCATTGTCCCGGGTAGCATTTGAGGATAGAGTAAGAAAAAGTTGATTCAAGTTGGATCTATAGGTGCTGTTAGGACTGTATGCAGTTGTATTTGGGCAGTAATGATAAAGATAATTCACGGAGCTGATCACCCTTATTGTGCTAGAGAGAAAGAGCAGACAAAACAAGAAAAGATAACCAAAAATCTTGAAGGCTAACATGGTGGTGCTTAAAAATCTTCCACTGAGTTAATTTTATGAAAAACAGAGGCATATAATAAGATAAGATGTGAAAGGAGTGGTGAGCGGTGATGGAAGACTTGGTGTGCCAGTCAATGGAATGCAAGTTGTGTTAATTGTCGTTGTCCTTGTGGAAATTAAGAAAGCAGCAGACACAATTAATATCTGACGGAGATAGGAATCTGCTATGGTTGATTTTACATGGTGACTGTACAACTCTTGGCATTTGGTCAAGCTTTAGCTTGCCGAACTTGTACATAGACAAGGAAAGAGGAGAGTCTCCTCATGCGGTTTTTTTTTTTTTTTTTAAAAGGTTTTTTTTTTTTTTTTTGTCATCTCTACCCATTTATCAAACATATTAGTCTTCTTTTTATATTGTTCAATTTGTTTATATGATTTTCATAATTTTGTAATTGATTTTTGCAAATTACTTTTGCACACTCTATTTTCTTCTTCTACAGAATTTATTTTCTGTTTTTCTTGTTCAGTCTATTTATATGATTTTCGTTATTTTTATTTTATGATGTTTGCAAATTACTTTCGCTCGCAATATTTTCTTCAATTTTCTTCCTTCTAGGAATTCCATCAGCTAATAATATTTTTTCAAATCATTTTTTTTTTACTGTCCAATCTGTTTATATTATTTATATTTTTCACGTTTTAAAATATTTTATTTTTCTTAAATTGTTATGGATTTTTATTTATTCATTTATGATAATTGTTACTTCTGGGAATTGATTTGATTTTCTTTTAAATTCCTTCACCTTAATGCTTTCTTCTATATTTTTTGGAATTTGTTTTTCTGTTCATGATAAAATAAAATAAATTGTCTAATCAGTCATTGTGAAAGATTCCCTTCATGAAGACAACGATTTTACATGAATTTCATATAAACAAATAGAACAATAAAAAATAAAAAATAAAAATAAATTTCATAGAAGGAAAATAGAGTGAACAAAAGAAATTTGAAAAAATTCATCTAAAATTATGAAAATTATATAAATAATCAAATGTATAAAAATGGAATTGATATGAATGATGGATGGGTAACATTGTTTAAAAGTGATGGAGTAGTAACCTTTTATTTTAGAGCGAGAAAGCAGTAAGCATG